GTCTTTCATTCTTTTGTGCTTCCCCCCTTCTCTTTCCTTTTTTTCTTATTAAAAGCAAAGCAAAATGGGCAGATTGTCCTGCCCGGGGAGTGAAACTGAACAGCTGGCATGGTTTTAGAAGATCAGGAGGGGAGAAACAGAGAGTGAATGAGTATTGGAGAGAGTGAACAGACATTTAGAAGGGAAAAAATACCCATTTCACTTTATTCTGCAATCAAAATGAAGCGTTAGCAAATGCAGAATGTGTGATCCTTTGAGATTTGGGGTGATGAGCTTAATGCTTTTCAGAATAACAATTTCCAATGTGCCCTTTTCCTGGTCTGTGACTGCAGTATATCTCCGACATCTGCACTGTGTGAAAGCTTAGTAGTTGGAGGGAGAGTGTTGTTTATGTTGCACCACTACAATGACCCCTGCTATGGGTCATCGTCAGCATTTGAACGCTGAAGTGTTTTACAGAGAGTTAAGAACTAAAAGGGCAAGTTCATATAAAAGACCCAAGTGCCTATGAGGCAAGTACCTACTTCCAGAGTGAAATCCATATAGACACCTTGGCTCCTTTTGTAGTCCACAAGGCAAATTTGACGCATCAGAAGGATGACCCAGAAAACCTTCCTGCAAAGTGGGGAGGGGTGTCTGACCTCATGCCTCTGGAGCTTTGGTGCTTGTATTTGTTCTTGGAAAAAACTGAGCAGGGCTCACCCTTTTCTTTTAAAACACCTCTGCCACAGAAGGAGAGTGTCTTGGTGGTCATAGTGCTGCTGCTGCTGCTGCCCTAATCTTTTAAAGCAAAGCCTTGTGGTTAGTGCAGTCACATCTCCCACTTCCCAGGAGAGCCCTGTTCACCTAGGGGGTAGCCTTAGAGGCATCTGGAGAGAGGGGTCTCTCTTGCATGCTCTCATCTGACTTTCTGACTTGCATTCTTGGCTACAGGCTAGGTCAGGGGCAGGCAAAATATGGCCCGTGGACCAGATCCGGCCCGCCAGGCCATTCTATCAGGGGCACCTAAAATGTTTAGAAAAAGGATATTGTATCTGCTCCTGCTGATGCATGTCAAAGAGGACAGGAGCAGTAGGACCCAGGGGAAGCCAGCAGGACCCAGGAGCAAGGCTGGCATGGTACCACCCCACCCCTAGCCCCTCTGCCTGCAGCTGCTTTCACTGCTTCCCTGTGCGCCTGCTGCAGCACCACGTGGCCCCTGGCTCATTGCCAGAGCACAGGGCCCACCCTGGTATCTCAGAGCCAGGAGCAGGAGGGTGTGTGTGTGTGTGTGTGTGTGTGTGTGTGTGTGTGTGTGGAGAGTGAGTGAGTGAGTTCATAGGGTGAGTCCCACAAGCACACCCCACCATACACATGCACCCACACTCCCCTTTGCACTGCCATACACACAGACCCCCACACTCACACACCTCAGCCACCCACCCTCCACAAACCCCATATCCACCCACACATCCATGCACACCCACAAGCTCCCTCACCCCACATCCCACACACCTATCCACTCCCCTACAAAACCCCCACCCACATACCCACAGCCCCCCACAAACCTAACCCCCCCCAGTTTACCAGAGTAAGACTTCATTTTAAGCTATTGTGCAATTACCTCTGTGCACTACACAAATGCATGTAAATCAGGACAAAAATATTTTTTTAATCAAATAAATGAATGTTGTAGATGTTTTATTTTTAGAATAATTTGGTATTTTTCTGGTTCTGAGGTGGCAAACCCCCTTTGCTGAAAAGAGCATTTCTAGGGGCAAGGGGAGGGACGTCTGGTGACAAAGGTCGGGGGGGTAGGGGGCGGGACTTCTTGTCCCAAGATGGCAACCAGGGGGCAGGGCACGTGTCAAGGGGCAGGGCTACCCATGTGGCCCTCGATGGCTTGCCAAAACTCGGTAAGTATCCCTCTGTCCAAAATAATTGCCCGCCCCTGGGCTAGCCCAGCTTAAGGAGGACAATTGAGGTTGGCTCTGTCCTAACCTTAGGACACTGTCCTGGAAGGGCAGAAGTATGGGTTTGAACCATCTCAGGCTGAAGTGTTGAACCTGAAGTGCATCCATCTTGGGTGTCTAAGACCTATTTTTCATTGGTCATAGTCCCTACCCTGAGGGGTTTTTCTTCTAGTTAGACAGTGTTAACAGCTGAATGGGGATTAAAAGTGACCAAAATGGAGGGCTGGAGTGTCCTGAGGAGGAAAATACTTCCCATAAGAATGGACATGAATGAGGCTGAGATGTCTGACTGGGTCAGAGTAGGGGTTTTCAGACCGAGGTGAGCAGATAGTGGAAGAAATTATTTCATAATACTAAAATACATTTAGAAGTAGATTAATATTTGACTAGGTTAACCCTTTCTGTAAACATTAAAGTGTCCAAGTTTTGTTTGTCCAATTTTATCCACAAAATAGCATAATGTTTCCTCACAACCAGAGCACTCAGGTCAGCTACAGCGCAGAAACATCTTGAATTACCAGACTGTGTGTTATTCAAAGCAATCTGCTGATTTAGAGTTCAGTGGTACTCTTGTTGAGGCAAAAAACACTCTTCCTTGCTTTCCTGCACAGCCACATCATCAGGTTTAAAAATAAATGCAAATGCCAACCCTTGGAATCAGAATGAAATTATCACCACTGACTTGTTTTACCATTTCAACTTCTTTCTCCAGGTGTCCCAGGTTATACATTGTGATAAAGGTTAAAGTGGAGAAGAGACTGTCAGGGCCACCACATCAATAATAGGGACAAAAGTTTGTTGTTATAACTTCTGTTATAATTTAGCAAACCATTGGAAATGTGATCTGTGTTCCTCCTCTGGAAACACTGATTCTTTCGATTGAAGGGCTATCAAAGAACTTCCCCAGTACTAAATAATGGAACCATAGATTCATAGATTGTAAGGGGCTGGAAGGGACCTTGGAAGATCATCGGGTCCAGCCCCCCCTGCACCAAGCAGGAAAGACAGTTGGGGTCAGGTGACCCCAGTGAGGTGACTGTCCAGTCTCCTCTTGAAGATTTCCAGGGTAGGCAATTGCACCACCTCTGGAGGGAGCTTATTCCACAGCCTGGACACCCTAACTGAGAAGAAGTGTTAAGCCTGAAACAGTCTTTCAGGAGTTTGTGGCCATTACTCCTGGTTTTCCCCAAGGGTTCTCTGGTGAACAGTTGTTTACCGAGCCCTTGATGTTCTCCCCTGATGGGTCACAGTGAACAACTGATAGAACATACTGGAGCATGGCACTTCCCTGCCTTTTATTTTAATACCAAATCCAGCATGCAAGCAGCAAATCCAGGTCCAAGTATTCACGTGGCTCAAACAGACGAGCAGCTTTTCTGCAAGGTTAAGCAGGCTACAAGGGAGGACAGCTCTCAGTTGAAAACAAAAAGTCTCAACAAAAAGTCTCAACCTAGACAGGAGAGTCTAGGAACACAGCTACTGGGGCACATCAGGTACTTGGGTGCTTCAGGTACTTGATCTGCATTTTCTTGTTAGATGAGATCCTAATATACCTCACATGAAGGGGTTCTTGACCTGTCATGCCAATCAAGCCCTATTCTGTGTCTTTTTAATATGGTAAGCACTTTTATCCCCTTGTTGGGTGAGTTGGAACAAAGGAAGGTTAAACATTGCCCAAGGCCTCACATTGTCCAGGGTTGCACAATGAGAAGGTGACAGCTGCAGAGACACCCCAAAGATCACTAGGTTCTAACCACTTGCCAACATGGCCTGCCATTAAGAAAGACCTTGGCCATGTTGTTGAGAAATGATTTTCATAGCTCCCGGCAGACATCCTCATCTTTCTCAGCCTTACTTCAGAGCTATTAGTGTTTCACAGCTATTCTATCAAAAACTCATGCATTATATGTATTGTGGGTTTAATGTAAAGGTGTCAGGTATCTCTGAAAAGAAATTAAGAGAATGTCAAAGGTAAAACTAAATAAAAGGGCAGACACACAAAGGCTGTAAATGAGGTGGAAATTACAGGCAAATAGACAATAGAAGAAAGTTTAAGTAGCAATTTGTTCTCCTTTGCACAAGGAAATGCATTTCATTAAAAAAAAACCTGAAGAAGCTGTACTTTATAAATACTATACTAAATATATCCTAAAACAGAACAGAATTATTATACACCCTCCACATATATGCACACAACAAAACAAAAAGTGAAAATTGACTGACAGTACTAATCTTTCTAAATGGATGTTTTAATTAAATATATACTTTCCTGATGGCATCATGCGTGGACTCGGTGCTCCAGATTGGCTTCCCAAGTGCTCCATCCTGTTTATGGCCCTGACCTATCAGTAGGTTAGGCTCAGTATGTCTGTGACATTCTCTTGACCTGTCACAGCAGCTGCTGTAGTTGACTGAGAGAATGCTTCATCTGTTTTAACCTGGGTGTGAGCTTACATGGCCATCAAATTCTCAGTGAGAGGAACCTTCTCTCCTCCAAACAGTAGCATGTGGCTCTTATTATTACTTCATTTGGGAAATGAGAATCAGTAAAAGAGCTATTAAGGCACAGGAAAGCTTTTTTGTATTTAGAGGGTCATTGTCATCATTATCATCATAATTAATAATACGGAGACCAAAAAACAAACAAACAAATAGATCAGCCAGTCTGATGCATACCAATGAACTGAGTTGTTTCTAAATATACGTGTTTCTCAGATTTCTCAGTAAAACACTGGGAATGTTTCTCTGTCCTCAGGAAACAGACCAGGTCTGAATTTCGCCTAATTAAATACAAGCCTTGTCCCAGTTTTAAAAAAAGATGATTTTTAATAGGTGGTGGTCTTAGAAGGTACAGTGTTGGTTGGAGTTAGTTATGTAAGAAGTGCACAGCCACCCTACCAGTGTCTGAAGCCAACACTCCAGCTATTAACCCTCCTAAATCTATTATACTCAATGAGAACCCAATAGCTACCTGTTCTTTACACGTTTCTTGCTGTAGAAGCCCTTTCACAACATCCAGTGACAAACTGACTTTCCTCATTTCTCCAGCTTCCAAGTCCTGATAGGCTTCTCCTTAGAATAAGACCACCCCAGCAACCTGATATTGCAGAGTACCTTCAACTGCCCTTGCGATCAGGTCCTTGATGCTGAATACCTCTGCCAAACAGAAGCCCCCACTACTCTTCTTGACTTCGGATGAGAAATAATCATCGTGAGTAAATGACCTCTTAGATGCTTTAGTATTTAAAAAAGAAAAGAAAAACAGACTAGGGGAAAAAACTAACAGTGGGATGGATGTGAGCATGTGCCAAATTGTACTAAATAGATGTATTTCTTGCATTTCTTCATAAAGCACTGGAATCTCTTTAAGGTTCATATTTCTTTTTTGTATGAAGAATTACTGATGTGGTCTCTCTGCTTGCAGGAAATGATGTGAATTTTGTATAAAGTAGCTAATGAGTCTGGGTTGTCTATATCACATAACATCTCCATACCATGTAGCCATATACCAGGCAATGTTAAGTGTCTCTGCATTTATCTTCAAAAGATGCCATAACCTTCAAAGACACTTAGCATAAATTATTCCAAATTTGTGGATTTTGTCTTTATAGCTAGAGTCAACTGTTCAATATAATAAGGGAAATGCATAGTTTTTGCAGAGGTTTTTCTGTATGTTTTGGGTTTCTGTTGGGATGTATGCAGTGCCTATTAATTTTATTTGTGTTTGTATTTTTAATGAGCTTTTTCTTAACTTTAGAATCTCATTTATGAGGTTGAAATAATACAAAAGCCGGATTTTAATGATACCTCAAGGAGATTGGACCTCATGCAAACCTGGCTACCTGACCCATGGAAAAAGCCAGGTAAAATATAACTACAGAGAAAAGCAGTGGGGTAGCCCATACATTTTTATTTGTTTTATTTTATGCTTTTTTCTAAAATATACCTAAAATTGAAATCATCTTGCCTTGTTATTTGTATGAGGATAGAGAGCAGATCTTTACAGTAAAATACATCATATTAAAATATTATTTTGATTTCTCAGTTAGTTTCCCTGTATAGAGTCAAGTTACTACTGTGGTTATGACAATCCAGCAGGCTCTTTTTTCTTTTTATAATGGCAGGTCAGCACAGTTCCCTTTTTTATTTAGAAAACTGGATTTTAATCTCTTTGTAACCATTATGCTAAACCAATTTTTTAATACAGAAGAACATGGAGGTACAAAGCCCCTTTTGTTCTCCAGTTGCTAACTCCTCTGCTCCGCGTCTATACCGAGGTGGGCAAAATGCGGCCCATGAGCCAGATGCACCTGCCAGCCCATTCTATCCAGCCCATGGGGCCCCTAAAAATTTTAAAAATTAATATTTATCTGTCCCTGGCTGCCTGTCATGTGGTCCTCAGTGGCTTGCCAAAACTTAGTATGTGGCCCTCCACCCGAAATAATTGCCTGCCCTTGGTCTATACAGTATACAAGATTATAGCTATGTCTAAACAATGAGTACTTGACCAGAAGGTGACTACGATGTATTATGCTATGAAAGTACTTCTAGCGTGAGTGTAGAATACATTGGCAAAGTTGGGCTTCATACTGGTATAGTAGAAGCCACACCTCACAAGCGAAACAACCTATACCAGAACAGGGGTTTGGGTTGTAGCTGTGTTGGTCTAAGGACATAGACAAGGTTCCTTGGGTGAATTTGATATCTTTTATTCAACTCCAACCCAAATGGTTGGAGAATAGTTATTAAGCAAGCTTTCGGGTTCAAAAACTCTTTATCAGGCTAAGGAAGCTTCAGCAGTTGGTGTGTGCTCTTCCTGGATGGAACCAGAACAGTGCATTTCTGCAGGCATAGCTGCATGAGCATTAGGGGCTTCTGTTGGTTCAGCCATTGGTCTGGGAACTCGCTTTTCTTTTCATGACTGACTAACACAGTTTTATAGCAGCTGAAATCTAAAGTGTAGACTAGAAACATTTTAGTTATTACTCTAACTGCTGCCAGTAAGGAAATGATTATTTTGGGGTTGGCAAATAATTTATGGAGGGAGATGTCATGGATATGATCTTTTACCTTGACCATAAAACTAGGCAATGCACAGAAGGTTATTTTTAGACCTGTAGGCTGGGGACTCAGTTTTACTGGGGTCAGTAATTCATGGTACATGCCTGTTTTCCTCTCATCAGGGCTCAGAGTTAATCAGCAAAAAGCTATATTTTTCTATGGTTCTCTATAGTCTATCACTGGTGATTCTCCGGTATCAGCATAAGATGGTCTGGAAAGGTCTGAGACTTTTGTTTCTAACTTTTCCATAACAAACGTTAACTTGCTTCGACCTCTGTAGATGTTAATGCTATTTGCCATTCTGATCAGCTGGGAGATTCTACTTAGTTGGCTGCTGAAGCATTTTAGTGGAGACTTGGACAGTGAAAAAGGACGACTTAACTATCACCTGACTAGCTGCAGAATGAATAGTGGGAAGTTTATTTGGAAGACTGAAAGACAGATGAAAGAGTCCAGTGCTTAGGCTGAGGCTGATGAGAGATTTTTCTCATAGCATGGTTGCTTGCTACGTTTTGCCTAGCCTTTGCAGAAAGCTTGTGGATGAAAGGATGTGTTGGGTTGCGGAACTTTCTGAACATTTTGAACAGCCAGAGTAGATCTCTATTGACCACTGCAACTTCTCAAGGGAAGAGCCTGGGATGCATTGTACTCATACTTTTGTGACCAGTGCAACTGCCATGGTATGCATCTTCTGTCATGCTTAAGATTAGCCTGCCTATGTGTGAGATATTTGGGTATTTCAGTAAGCAATACAGAGAAAAATATGTGGCAACATTCGTGGGGAAAAGTATGAGCCTGTTAGTATGAAATATATATGGAAAGCTGGCTATAGAATACCTGCCATAGTAGGAAATAGGTGCTTATCTTAATCGGTAAGGAGTAGGTGGAAACCTGGTTGTGATGTATGGGTCTACATTAGTATGAGATGTAATGGCATTGTAAACTAGTGCATGTTTGGCATTTATAATAGCATATATAACTATGCATTGGAGAGAGGCATTTTCAGTAATATACACAACCATGGTTACAAAGACATGTAAATATACTGGTTTAATAAATACAGTAGCCACAACTACTTTAATATGTAACTTTTAAGGTACTGAAACTATCAACATAATAACTTGAAATTATCCAATAACATACAGAGTGAAAACCCGAACAATTTGGGGGTTTAAAGATCACAACTGCGTAAGCAGGATGTACAAAACTGTTCTCTGCATCTTGCAGAGTGAGAGTCCTGGTCATATGGGGATCTCACCCAGTGTTAAATATTTTTTTCATTGTTCTTACTGTGGTAGAAGTTATAGAAATATTCTCTAATTTAGAAAACTGAAAAAGTTAGAAATTGGGAGAGTTGTTGGTTGGTTACAGACATGGGTTGATCCATTAGTGAAGAGAGCTCATTTTGCCCATGCCACACTGCTGGAAGGGATGTGGCTGCTGTCTCTTGCTGTGATCCTGGATGCCAGTGAGCTCTGAGTAGCTCCAGCTGGATCTCTGTGTATACTATGATCTCTGAGCTCACCAGCATGTGGGCTGTCCAGAGTTTGTGATTTTAAGCAGTTCTGGAGACTGCTGCTCTTTCTCTCCGTTCTTCTTTTCCCCCCTCCTTGCTGAATTCAGCAGCAGGGAAAGGAGGAGACAGGATGAGCTGTGACAGTGACAGCATGGAGCCTCCAAAACTGACTGAAAGCAGGGGCTACATGTTGCTGGCTGCTGCTTCCCTCTTCTCCCCTGCTGCTGGAGAGCACGTGAGAAGGAGGGAGTGGAAGAGTAAAGAGCAGTAAGCTCCAGAGCTGCTTGAAAGCAGGAACTCTGGGTAGAGCCTGTGCCTAGCAGGACGTGCACATACAGGCACAGCCAAAGAGGGGTGTGGCTGCACCACCACACCAGCTCTGGATGTGCCCCTGGTTAGAGACTGAGGGAGTACAAAGGCTTACCTACTGCTCTATAAAAAAAAAATGTAGTTCTTCTCATTCATGCATTTCATCTTTATTGAACCTGATGAAAACTACTGTCCTGGGTCATGTAGGAAATGGAATAGGGCCTGTTTCTGAGCCCTCTTGCACTGAAAGATGTGTCCTACCTTGTAGATGTTTCAGAGGCAGAAGACTGGGGTGAGCGATGCATGGTCCTTACGGGTCCTTGACCACCAAGACACTATGTTCTGTAGGTGGACTGTTTGCCACAGCCTCAAGCTTATCAGCTTTGCCTGTGTGGCCTTTTCCTGCCCTCCCTTCTCAAACACTTTTTACCCTTGCTACCACATATTCCTTTTCCTCTCTGATGTTCTCAAGAGGTCTCTAAATGTATGTCATCTTCTCATTTCTTTTTGCTCCAACATAGCTTAATCAGGCATTTGGGTAATGATAATACCTCTGTCCTTTGTCTTCACAAGGTCATAAGGTAAAGGGCAAGTAGTTGCTGTTCAAATTGTGGTCTTCATGCCATCAATGATAACATACTACTTTCTGCTTGATTTTAGAATTCCATTCCCATAGGCTCTTCCCAGTCTTGGGTGAGCTTGGAGGTGGTGAGATGTGTTCAAAATATATCCCCTTTGAGATGACATTTGGAGCTCTGGTGTGAGGAGAAATGCTAGTAGTGGCTGCAGACTGCTATTAAAATGAAAAGGAGAAACAGCAGCGGCAAGTAATAACCAGGGATTTTCTCTGTTAATGATCCAAAATTCTCTAATTAAAAAAAACCCCAAATCCACATTTTTCCATGATTAAAATGAAATGCCACTATATATAGATATAGATGTGTGTGTGTGTGTGTAGGGGTGTGTATATATATATAATATGTATGTCTGTATATGTATGTCTGTATATAGATGTGTATATGTATGTATGGGTGTGTGGATGTATGTGTGTATATATATATATGTATCAGCTGAACACAATGTTTTATAGATATATTTACAGCTTAAAAGCAATTTGGAAGCCTACCAGTACCTCAATCATTATAATAAAATACATTCTAAATACCTATATATTTTTGGCATTTGATTTTGGTTTATTTATCATGGAAAATCAGAGCTCCCCCTGCCCCCTTTACTCACCAGGACACAGGTCCAGCTATGGCTGCCGCCTTGCTGCTTTGTGGTGCTGAGCAGTCCTGATAGGCTGGTGCCCCTCAATGCCAACCTGCAGCCCCTGCCTACCCCCAACTCGCTGCCAACCTACTGCCTGAAGTTGCCCACCCACATACCCCTACCCTGCCCCCAGCCAGCTCTTCCCGCAGACCCTCCCAAAGCTCTGGCAGTGTCACCTGCACTCCCCTGCTCTGGCCCAGCCTGCCCTGCTGGCTCTCCCTGCAGCCACCCCCTCCCCCCTGCCCCAGCCCTGGCAGCGTGACCCACAGCCAACCACCACAGTGCTACCCCCTCTCCCAGTCCTGCCAGTACCCCTCATTCCCAACCCACAACCCCCTGTTCCCCCCCAGCCCTGCTAGAGGGGGCCTCCAGCTGCCCTCTGCCCCCAGACCAGCGCTCCAGTGTCTGAGGCAGGTGGTAGGTGTGTGGGGCTTTCCAGAGCTTGGCACCTGCCCCAATGGTGCAGGGCTGGTCCAGGCACAACTCTGTGCCTCTGCCACCCCTGCTGCAACCGGTTGGGCAGGGGGTGCTTCACCTTGGCTGTGGTGGTACAACTGGCACATGGGGCTCCTGGTGGTGGTAGCAGTAATAGCAGCACCAAGTCTCCCCGCCCCACTCTGCCCTCCCATGCTGATTCCTGCCAGCTGGACCACAGAGGTGAATCATACCTGGTGCTGCTCTTCATTTAAGATACTGGTGGTTGTA